CCCCCCCAGGCTGCTGTACTGGGGGAAATTGGGCTGGGCCCGCACAGTGGGTGGGGGGTGGTACTGGAGGGAGCTGGGCCAGGCCTGTGAGGCGGAGGGGAGGGGGCATTTCCCCCACCACTCCAGCTCCAGGTACAGCAACCATAAGGCTGTTGCTGTCAAGTGGCTTGTGTAGGGGGTGGGGGGAAGGGAGTCCCCTGCTGTACAAGCCCAACTTAGTTCCCCCTGAGATCTCAGCAGGGCTACAGCTTCATCCTCACCCTTCCCCCCAGCCATGGCTGGCAGGGGGCAGGGATGGGTAGAAGGGTGGTCTGGCAGCCTCCTGGAGTGCCCGTCTGCTGGCCAGGACCAATACAGGCAGGCTCCGAGCTCCCTCACCACCCAACAGGCAAACCAATGCCTCCTGGGTTCAGTGGTACCTTAATTATGTTTCTTTTGTGTAAAGCACCATAGGTAGAGCGCCTCCCAACAGGGAGCCTAAAAATCTGTATGGCACTTGTTCATTATTATGAAGTCTTAAACTTCTGAAGGCTAGAAGTAAAGGAAAGAACCATTTTATCATTCTTGTAGCAAAGTCACTGAGCGTGAGCATCCACTATTAACTTCGGTAGTGCAGGATTAGCTACTGAATGCATATCTAAGGAATGCTCCAACCATGTATTGTTTTATCTTCTCTGGTAAGGTTAGTTTGAGAATCAAGCTAAAGTGCAAATCACTTTCAACTCATTGGATAAATACCCTGTTAGATTTCTCTAGCCTGAGAAGTTAGTCAATTAAGTTGCTTTAACTGAAATCTCAAAATAACATGATTTGCTAATTTGTTAGATTCAGCTAAACTTTCCTATCAGCAGGTCTCTATGCAAAGATTACTCTCCATATCTCTGTGGTAATTTAAGGCATTGAAGAGAATTTCAGAGATCACTTTCTGACTGAATCAAATAGTAACACCATTATTATTCTTTGCTTCTTCAATGCTGATATATTCTACAAGACTCCTATATGGATGTTAAGTTTATCAAGTTCCAGGAATCCTTAAAAATAAGAGACACTTTTTCTTCCTCTCCCCCTCCAAATTTAATACAACAAAAGTATTCCAAAGAAAGTGCCCCTAATCTTATTTGTAGAAAACTAGCTGAAATAGATGATCAGATGTTAAGCTAGACCTTTTCAAAAAGGAGTATGGTACAATCATTTTATTTGTTTGTTAGTTTACTAGAGAGACCCAAATATAATTGCCTCACCTTGATATGTGTCCTTTCTGTTCCTTAGAGTGAGATTCCAAACCCACACCCTACCTGAAAGTGCATCGAAGGTTGGTTTCTGACAGTATATTTCCAAGCAAGGCAAGCTTTTGTCCATCCCTCCTTTCTTACTGCTGGCCATAAAAGAAAAATAAAAGGTTGGACCACATATAAAGATACTCAGTTACAAGGATTTCCTGCTTACAGTGTCTTCTGGACATAAAATGAATGATTCTCCTCTCATTTACACCATGTAACTCCTTTGACCTAGAATAATTCATCCTTTTTGCATGGGTGTAAATGCAACCAGGATCAAGCCCAAAGCTCTGACAAAGCTTCAGATTTTATGGACATAATAATGTTTCTTTAATCATTCATTAAGGAAACATGCTTCTGCACAGCCTATTGCCACAAAGTATCTCAGGTGGTGTACAACAAAATACAGTTTAAAAGACATCAAATGTACAAGGTTACAGCAATTAAAATTGATAATAAAACCATAAATAAAAGCAACATGGTATGCCAAGGCCTTATTTAAGAATGAATATAGTGCTCATGAAAGATAAAGGATTGACACAGTGGAAGATGCATTCTCTATTTATCCACAGAACATTTGCAGTGCCAAAGGCCTTCTGAAATAAAAGCTTTTTAAGCACAAGGCAAGACATCTTTTGTTAGAACATTCATCTATTGTATATCTCCCTTAGCCAGCTTTTCCTCTCTTCTACCCCTGACTAATACTGAACAGGACAATTAAAAGTTTCACAACCTGCTTTTACCATATGTCATCTATTCATATGAAGACGAGGGGCAGGAACAATGTTAAAAAAAATCTTTTCTTTCCTTGGAAAAAATTGTTCACAGTGTTGGCTTCTGCATTTCCTTCTCCCTTCAAAGTAAATGATATCAGGTAGTTTAAACCCTGAAAGATATATTGCATTCAGAAAAAAATAATGTGGATCCTAAATTTTAGGATAAAGAGAGAAATTGCTAAGCACCTAAACTTATGCGTACACAGACACAAAAGCCACCCTTTTTGATTCTCTCAGGAGCTATATCTCAGTTTTTTCTCAAGCTAACCTCCAATTACAGTCGAAAGGAATTTTGCTTTTCTTAGGTCTCCAAGTCTGGCCCCCTGACTTATAATGTGTTGCTAATCTGACCAGAGGAGAATGCCCAAACCAGCTTAGACTTTTTCAAAACTGTGCTCATACCATTGCTAAAATAGGTGTCCAGAACAATGATGTGGACTAAAACAGAACAAAAAAGCAACACATTCACTGAAGTCAATTTTATTTTGGTTAAAGTAAATGGCACAATTCCCACTGAAATTTTTCTTTAAGTGGAGTGGAATGAGACTTCAAAAGAATCATGTTTCATTTCCCCTGTACTGGAAGTAATTTATCAATACTTACAATATGGGGGGAAAAGGAAAGGATTATTTTATTTTTAAATACATGTGCATCGCCAAAGAGGGAAATAATCTGGTTGTGTTAATACATATTCACAAATATACTTTGGTTTAATGTTACAGCAGAACACCATGAATAGCACTGTGCATTTTGTCAATATATCAGTTTCTCTCACCAGGTAAAAAGCATGCTGTGGGTCCCCTCCTGTGGCCTGGAGTGGGTAGGGGGGGCTACACTGAAGCTGGCATCTGCAGGAAGAATTCTGCTTCACAGGTGCATTGTCCTGAATAATTAGGTTCATGGCAGTAGTTTCTCTATATTTACTGTTCTTTTTCCCCCCCGTCATCTGAAAGCCACTATGGCTGCATCTACATGAGCATGGACGTTTGTTTCCCCAAGGACAAGAAGCAGTGGCATACCTTGTGCTGCTGCTACTTATCCTTGGGGAACGTCTGTGCCATGCACCCTTTGGCATGCAGCAGGTTATCCTTCAGGGGAAGCTGAGGCCAGCACCTGTGCTGGCCCCAGCAGCCTTACCTGGGGTGCTGGGAACCTTGGAGCTGCAGCTGCGATGAGCCTGTTACTTGGAGCCAGGCCAGCAGCTGGAGTGTGGTTCCAGCCAGCCAGGCTCTGGCTTTGGGGAATGTGTGCTGCCCCCATGTGCACCACCCCACTTTTTTTTTTGTGTACAGGCTTTTTTGACCCAGAGAGCTCCATTCCCCGCTCCCCCCGGCAAAGTAGCAGCACAGGGAACACCTGAATATGTGGTGCCTCAGACAGGTCTCTGGGACCACATACCGTATTGCCGTGCTCATCCGGACATGGCCTATGAGGGGTGTCTACACTGTTATCATAGCGCTAAGCAGCTGGCAAGTGAGGTCTAGTTTGTGTCTCAGTATCCTATGGTTAATGAGTCAATGTAAGGAAGTTGAAGCTGATGCCATGGGGCAGGCATGACAAGGTACAATTTCTGAAGAAAACTCATCAGTGTTGCAGTTCCCACTTGTATTTCATATGTATCCTCTGGGAGTTGGATACCATGTGCGTTCCTTGGCAACAGTCCCAACCAACAGTATAAGTAAGGGAGGCAAGCATGGCACCAGCCCAGGTGCTGACTTGGGGGTTCACAAAAATAGTGGCACCACCACAGTGCCAGCAAACTTTTCCCCATACTGCTGCCTGGGACAGAACGGACCAGGGTCTGATCCCAACACCATTTCTTAGGTGTGAACTTTTATGTCAGTAACTCACTAAGGCCCTTGAGCTTTCCTTGCAAATGCTCAGTGGCAGTAAAAGCTTCTTGCCCATTACTGTGGATACCAATGGCCATTGTGCCAATTCTGTGGCATATGCCTCTTGAAATGTATCCCCTTATGTCATTAGCTCAGTTGTTTCATCTAAATAGGAAGGTGTATTCCATACTAGATCAAGTGTGGATGACACCATTCTTTCATCGCTGTGTTGTCAATCAAAGCTTTTATTATATTTTGCACGTCATATCAATCTGCAATAGATGTCCATGTCAGTCAAATACATGTTATGCATAGATCTGATGTCACTAGTAGGCTTTGGATTCAAATCAATGATAGAATCTGTGCAAAATTTTATCAGATCCTTTTTTAAGAAACAGGCACAGAAATCTCTTAATTGAATTTTCTCTTTTAACAGTGAGGGACATATTTTCACCCAGCCACAGCACGGACTTTGCCTTTGCGTGCACACTTTTTTTGCCTGTCGATGCAGGATAACTAATACCTTAGGACCTGCATGTGGCTTTATACCATTAAAGCACTTTACAAACATTAATTAAGCTTCACAATACCTATGTGAGGTAGGTCATTATTATTAACTCTATTTTGCATATGGACTAAATTCCCAACTGCCAGAGTCTGGTTCAGCTCCATTGACTCTAGTGGAATAATACCTGCTTATGCCAGCAATGACTTTGGTCCAGAGAGGATAGGTGACTTACCCAGCAAGTCAGTAGCATATTTGGCATTAGACAGAATTCAGAAGATCCTACCTCCCAATTAGGCTCCTCAGCCCATTAAAATACTTGAATTCTTGGCTTGCATGTTCACAGGCAGTAATCTTGCAAACAGATGGGCCTGTAAGCTAAATGAAAAGCGGCTTTCTGAAAATTTTGGATATTCAATAGACATCCTATCTCATTTAGGTTTGGCTGATTTGGTTCAACTGATTATTTGATAAAATCTGAGCCAACTTGACTCCTGACTGTCTGTCATTCCTGTGGTCTGTTACTTTGCAATACCTCCTTATTGTTTTCAATGAAGTAGCGAACCACACACATGTAATTTCATAATTAATCAAGCTCAAGCTATTAATTTTATTTCATTTGAGCAGAGGTTTGGAAGTCAGGGAAACTGATTCATAGAGAATAAAGCAACCAGCACACAAATGCTGTATGTCATTGTATTTTTCAAATAGCAGAGAGGGTTAGAAATTTATCTCCCGATTTTATAATAAAATCCCAACACATTGAGAGAGAGACTCCACTTCAGGAGTCCCTTCAGGAGTCAGCGGACATTGTTAATCCTTAGAATTCATGAAGAGAGGAACCTGAAATACTCTCTCATTCACCCCACAGCCCAATTCAGAATGTGATTGATAGTGGGCTGGAAGGATCCCCATATCCTCCTCTCTTCATACTAGCAAAAGTAAAGGTACTTTGTTGGCAGAGAGCCAGAGAAAGAGATTCAAGGAATACCAAAGGGCAGAAAGGTAACCCAGGATGAAGAGATGGGTAGCAACCTACTCTCAATGGCCTGAAGCTTTCTGCCACCAACAAAACAACACAAACAAACTCATCATGCAAGTGACATGACTGAGACTATTTAAGTCCAGTTCATAGATGAGTGCCTCTGCAGGAGATACAGCTTAATCCTTTAGATGGGAACTTGTATTGTCCTATAGAGTATGATGCACTGTATAGATTCAATCCCTGACAAAAAGAGAAGTAGGCCTTAAATGATTTAGCACCAAGGGTGGTGAATGATACCACTCAAGCATTTAACAGGCACAAGATACAGTATTAAAAGTATACAAGAATATACATTTAGCATCAAGGAAATGACAAATGTTTCCAAAAGGCACCTTGCTTACAGGCAGAGCATTGTGTAACATTCTCTTGTTCTTCCAGAAATGTGCAGTGGCTGAAAATTAGCTGGATGGGGAAGAAGTGATTTCCTTGCAATGCTGGAGCCGCAAACACTTAGTAGCAATTTTTCATCATTTTGTTAATTTTCACTAATATGACAAGTATGTTACTAATATGATTGTTCTGTTTAAAAACTAATACACACTATTAATATGTTACAGTGATGAATTACTAACAATAATCTATCACCAAGGGGAAAATTGTTGTAATTAAGGCAGCGTTGCTATCCTACAATAGTAATTTGTTAATTTAGTGCAAGGTGCTCAAAGAAAAAAACTTTATCATATTGTTCGGTGTTTCTATCCCACAGTCGAGAAGAACTGATCAACCTGAGAAAAAGGAACTCAATTCCTGAGTCTTTACTTACCCCACTTGTAGATGTTCATACATGCCCACCTTTAGAGCTAACCTTGACCTCACTTTAGGAACTGGGTGTTGTTTTTAAGCAACAGACTCTTCTTATCATGATTTTATAGAATCTTTCTATTGGCTTGGAAAACATTGTATTACATGGCATCAATATGCTCACATACCGACA